AAGCTAAAGAGATTGGTGTGTTCAAGCCCAATAGAGAGAAGGATGAGCTGACATATGCCATCGGGACTGCTGAACACACTAGTCGAACCAGAGGCTAATGACGCAACACTCCATGGGTTCATGGTTTCCCTAATGATAGGGAAACCTACCGAAGCCGCCAGAGAAGCAAGGAGGAGCAAGTAGCGTGGGTGACAATGTTGGACGAAATGGTGCTTGAAGCAAAGGAGCGAGAAAAAGCATTGGAAGCAAGAATGCAGGAAGAAATCAGAAAGCAAGTGCAGATTGCAATGAGTGCCCATAGACAGGCATCAGAGCCAGGAATGAATGTTAATATTAGCCCCCCTGGTCAGTTGAAAAGCAGCTGCGCTTCCACTGAGCTGCCAAAGCAAGATGACGCAGCGCTGCGCTTCCCCATGGATGATGTCACTACTCCAATGACATCAATTGAGCTACATGTTCCAAGGGGGAATGACACAATCAAGGTCGATGTCGGTGTTTTTACTCCTCCAGGCCCTACCAAGACACCAAAAATCCATAGGGCACCAATACAACCTGGATATGCTAGGGTCGCAGTGGATAAAGTGAGCAAAGGTTATGAGTATCTAGCTCTTGACATTCCTGTAGGTGATGGAGAGAAGACTCTAGGAGAAGCAGAGAAGGCATATATACTATGGCGCAAGCGCTACATCATTATCCCCGGGCGCCCGCCCACCGCCAATGACATTAGGTGCGGATAAAAGTTAACAAAACAATTTTTGATAATTTTCTATGGGCATGACTAATAATAAGCATTTACTTATATCTCATTATTTTTGTACTCACAAAAAGGGGGCCTCCGCCAACCAAAGTCCAAATTGTTGCTTCTTCCGACCATCATAGTGCTCAGGGCAATGATGACGCCTTCGAAGGCACTGCTGCATCCCCACCATCTCCAACTCCTCCTCCGCCTCCAAGGAAGTCCACAACTCCTCCACTGAGGTCTCCAACGCCTCCAAAGTCTGCACTGCCTCCAAGGCGGTCTCCAACGCCTCCCCCGCCTCCAAAGAAGCTAGCCCCTAAGAGGTCTGCCCATAAACGAAGTTGCTGTTGCCGCCTCACCCAAAGAAAAGAAGAAAGCAAATACTCATCCAGTTATTCCCCAAAAACTATCTTATGAGAAAAGTGAACAGGAATTAAAGGATGCAGTACAAAAAGAAGTGACAAATTTCTTTGAAGGTGCAAAACAGGCACGACGAGCGTGGGAGAACCCGAAGCCATCATACTTCTTCCTACCTCCAGATCAGCTAAGAAAGAAGTTGGAACAAAAAAAAACAGGATTCTCTTAAGAGCGCCGCGAAACAACCGATATCGGACTATGACCGCTCTCTCACCAAGTCATATGAGGCGGCGCAAAAAAAGAAGATAGTAGGGAAAGGTGTTGCACAACTCGGACAACAAACGCAATAATCAATCCCCCCTTGTCGTTCCTAATGAATATGGTTCAAACTTAAACTTAGTGGCGGAGGTAGGCGGCTATGAGTCGTTTCTTTGGTTTTATGAGGAAACTGGTTTGAACCTTGCCGAAGTGCTCGCTGAAGGACCATCTGCTCCGAAAGTGGATCCTTACAAGAAATTTGTACCAGGCCAGAGTCTATACAACCCAGAGAAATTAGGTGAACTGGGTACGCAAATGTACCTGCTAAACGGGTGGTACATGTTGGCGTCTGATGCGGGACAAATCTATCTTTCTGTCGGAATTAGAAACCACCATTACTTCCATGGCAATGACATTATCTATGTCGAGCTTGCAGAATTACACCAACTATGCCACCTGGACTCTCTCGTCAAAAGTCTCATTAGCTGCTATTGTATGTAAGTGTGATTATTTTCTACTATATTCACAATTTCTTTATTATATATTCACAGTTTTCATGTATGCAGACATGAGATGACAGAACTTAGAAAGAGAAAGGATAATGATGTTGGGTTCGTTGATCCGTATGTCGTATACAAACACCCTAACCTCCCGAAGGATTATAAGCCTCAACCTGAGAGAAATCTCATGAATTTCTTAGTGAACCAACGCGACAAAAAGGAGATACTCTTCCCCTACAACTTCAAGTGAGTGTTATTATAAGTAATTAATGTCGATCATATATATGGGACATCAATATTTCCTTACTAGCTAGTTATACCTCTCTCTCACACACACACATATATATATATGTTTATGCAGCAATCACTGGATATTAATGGTCATTGATATGGCCAATAGTAGATTGAAAATCTTAGACTCATTGAGAAAACCGCAAAGGGAGTATCAAGACATGATAGATATTATACAAGGGTAATTAATTTAGTTTCTCTATAACAACATATATATATAATGGCGCCGATCTCTCAATAATTATTAAAGGTTAAATTATTTTTTTATTTTATTGGGAGCAGGGTTAGGAAAAGGTTCATTGAGGAACAAAAAATAAAATATTGCAAAACGCCACTGGGTGTAATCGCACACAAAGTAAGTACTATAACTACACATTTATATTCAATTAACACCATATGATGATTTCAATTCACCCTAATTGATTTTTTTGTCATAAAAGTGGGTTCTAAGGCAGGAGAAGGGTAACAACTACTGCGGATACTATGTTTGCGAGTTCATCATGGCGTATTCAAAGAGAACTCCTGAAGAGCAACTCAAAGTACGTATATAAATACTTTTTCCTTTATATTATTTCGATCGTATATTTACAATTTCTTTATTGCTCTCATTTGTATAAGTAATTACATGAGCAATACACATACATATATATATATATTAATACTTTTTCCTTTAACTTTTAATGAAGACTGAATGGTCGAGGAAAAGAGTCATACGACTATAGCAGGATTTCTAAATGACCAGGTCATCAACCCCAACGACGAGTTCTACAATGACCCGAATGAACCGTTGATGTCAAATCTGGAGGAGTGAATTGCTAATGACATAAATAATTTATATATCAAACCTTTGTAATATATATATATATTATATGTACATAAAATAACGTGTGTATATATATGATCATCATATATATTTGTATGTACGCGTATATTCGTTTGTTATTTATGTACAAAGTTCGAACGAAAACTTACGCGTGCGAAGTACACATATATATTACTATTAGCAGCGTATTCGAAAATGTATTTTAATATCAAAACTAATAATTAAATGAAAAAAGAAACCAAAAATAAAAACCAAAAAAAGGAAAAAAAAGAGAGGGACATTTAGTCCCGGTTGGTGTTTCCAACCGGGACTAAAAGTCCTGCCCCGTGGCCGTCTCTGGCCAGGCCTGAAGGCCCCTTTACTCCCGGTTGGTGTTTCCAACCGGGACTAAAGGTCCCCCATTAGTCCCGGGCGTCAAGCCAGGACTAAAGGAGGGTACCTTTAGTTCTGGATTGGTGCTCCCGGTTGGAAAACCGGGACTAAAGGGGTTTCCCAACCGGGAGCAAAAAGCCTTGTTGCACTAGTGTTAGTGACTAGATGACACGTTGTACCAAGTTTAGGGGCCAGTTTGGTATTGTTGGTGCCATCATAGACCGCATGTCACGTTTGGACCTGTGACGTACTGTGTGCCTAGTTTAGCATGTGTTTGGTTGAGGGGTTGAAGTGGGTTTGGGATGGGTTGGACCCAATTTTGGGAGTATTGGGTTGGGGGAGTAGGGGGTTGGGTTCATCGCTAAAGGGAATATTCTCGTTAGATGCGGGTCGACCCGGTTCCTCCGAATCGAGCGGACGGGGTCGACCCACTTCGCGCGAGCAAGCAGAGAGGAGCGAGCGCGGCGGAGGGTAGGGCGAGTGCAGGCCACGTGTGGACGGCGGCGCGGGCGAGCCAGCGATCTATAGTGGTCTGAACTATATGTCTATTTAATGGCTCACCATTATTTGATGCTGAAGTGAGCAATTTAGCCACTCTTGGTCACTGCACCCAGCGGAGCACCTTCGAGCGTCTTTCCGTGTACGGGTACCGTTGCGCATGGAGCGTCCAACTTTCATAGTTCGTTTCCTTCGGTGACTTACCAAGGACTAAAAAAAAGAGTTACGTACAAACGATCAGGCCGACTATTACATGAATGTATGATCATGATCATGCTGGGAGGTGGCTCTTGGAAGGTACGGGTCCCTACAATAACCAGGATATGAATTTTTTTGTTGAAAAATACTAGATGTCATGGGCTACATAGAACTGCATGTAAAGGACTATATCAATCATATCAATTTGGGACTGCCTGTCGTATATGGTTGAATGATTTCTTGATGTTAGATTTGCTTTCTAAAGAACATATAAGGGATAAGACTAGGGATGAAAACGGATCGGATACGGACGGATATCACCGATATTACATTTGTTTTTATATTTCTGTCCGGATTCGGATTCGAATACGGATAGTGTCAACTATGTCGGATAGGATACGATTGAATATCGACATCATAAATATGCGATTTGAGTAATCGGATACGGATACGGTATCGGATGTTGGATATCCGGACTCGGATACGGACATATCTCAACCCCTCTAAACGGATTCGGTTTCGAATACGGTCGGAAAATATTCATACCGTTTTCATCCCTAGATAAGACATACTAGTAACATAATATGGGTAGGAATACATTAGGTGAGAGGTATTTTTGAATTATTTGGCTCTTTCATAATCACCCTGTTCATTTGACTTATAAGCCGTACTTTTCAGTCAACGAACAATATTTTTCTCTTACAACAAATCAGTCAACGATACTTTCAGCCATGGCTTATCAGCTAAGCAAACATGACAAATATAGATAGATATAGACCAAGAAACTGTTGTTTAAGTTGCATCTGCCGGAGCGCCACACATTGATGATGTATGTCAACCGTCACTAATGGGCCACGTTCACCAAACCATGCCGGTCATTTCCATCTATTTAACCCCGTCAAGTTGTTGTCTGTTTCAATCAATCCTAATAACCCTCAGAGTAGTGTACATCGAGGTCGCAGCAATGTCGTCGTCATGCAGCGGAGCCATTCGCCGCGTGGTACTATTCCCTTTCCCATACCAGGGCCACTTCAATCCTGTGCTCTGCCTCGGCGGAGCTCTGCACGCCCGCGGTCTCGCGGTCACCGTGTTCCACACGGATCTCCGCACGCCGGACCCGGCGGACTACCCCACGGACTACAGCTTCGTGGCTGTGCCCGTCAAGGTGCCTGCGGAGGTCGTCGCGTCCGAGGACATTGCCAGGCTCGTGATGGAGCTGAACGCCTGCTGCGCGGCGCCGTTCAAAGAGCGGCTGGCGGAGCTGATTTTCTGACGGCGGCAAGGACGACGGAGGCGTCTGCTGCGTGATCACGGACGTCATATGGTACTCGGCGCAGGCTGCGGCGAGGGAGCTTCGGGAATAACCAATGCCGGCGCTGGGGTTCATGACCAGTAGCGCGGCCAGCTTCGGGAACTTCATCGCCTACCCGAAACTGATTGAGAAGGGCTACTTGCCCGCGCTACCGGAGACCGGCTCTTTGACGAGTGTCAAATGGTTCGTCGAGTGTTATTTTTCGGGCACTCGACAATACGTCTTTGCCGAGTGTTTTTTTTTGACACTCGGCAAAGAAGCTCTTTGCCGAGTGTTTTTTTTGACACTCGGCAAAGAGCTTTTTTGCCGAGTGTTTTTTTACACTCGGCAAAGAAAATTTCAAAGCATATTTTGAAGCAGTAAATTAATTCAAATGAAAAAGTTTTCAACTACAAAGTTGTACAACTCATTAAGATGTACAATGTTTGTTTTGGTCTTTTCTTCATATGACAAAGTAAAAGTAAATTTGTTCACAAATCTAACATATCTCTCTTGTAGTTTATGAAACTACAATAGAGATATATAAGATTTGTGAACAATGTTAGAATGACCATGTCGGATGAACAGATGACCAAATGACCAAAATAAACTTTGTAGATCTCAAAAAGTTATGAAACATTGTAGTTGGCAACTTTTTGATTTGAAAACATCTTGTCATGCAAAACTGCGTTTGAATTTCAAAATTTTAAAATTCAAATTTTGTAAACGACCTCGGATGGAAAAACTTTGTAAACTAAAAGTGTAGATCTCGAAAAGTTATCAAACTTTATAGTTTACAACTTTTTTATTTGAATTCGTTTAGAGCCTCAAACAAGCAATTTACACTCGGCAAAAAAGCTTCTTTGCCGAGTGTTTTTTTTTGACACTCTGGCGAAGAGGTTCTTTGCCGAGTGTTTTTTTACATTCGGCAAAGAAAATTTCAAAGCACATTTTAAAGCAGTAAATTAATTCAAATGAAAAAGTTTTCAACTACAAAGTTGTATAACTCATCAAGATGTACAATGTTTGTTTTGGTCTTTTCTTCATATGACAAAGTGAAAATAAATTTGTTCACAAATATAACGTATCTCTCTTGTAGTTTATGAAACTATAAGAGAGATATATAAGATTTGTGAACAATGTTAGAATGACCATGTCGGATGAACAGATGACCAAACAACCAAAATAAACTTTGTAGATCTCGAAAAGTTATGAAACTTTGTAATTGACAACTTTTTGATTTGAAATCATCTTGTCATGCAAAACTGTGTTTGAATTTCAAAATTTTAAAATTCGAACTTTTCAAACGACCTCGGATGGAAAAACAACCAAAATAAACTCGGTAGATCTCGAAAAGTTATGAAACATTGTAGTTGGTAACTTTTTGATTTGAAAACATCTTGTCATGCAAAACTGCGTTTGAATTTCCAAATTTTAAAATTCAAATTTTGTAAACGACCTCGGATGGAAAAACTTCCTGAACTAAAAGTGTAGATCTCGAAAAGTTATGAAACTTTGTAGTTTACAACTTTTTTATTTAAATTCATTTAGGGCCTCGAACAAGCAATTTACACTCGGTTTAGTATAATATATTGGGAACTAAAACGGAATCCAGACACAAGTCACTGTGTGGTGTAGTGGTAGAGGAGGTTCGTGCGCAGCGGGAGGTCTCGGATTCGAATCCCGTCAGCGGGCGCTGACAAGTGGGGACCTCCACCAATTAAAAAAAATTCCATTTTTTTCGGTAAAAATTCCCATTTTTTAGGGTTTTTTTCGGTTCCAACTTTGCCGACACTCGGCAAAGGCTTTGCCGAGTGCCCGACAAAAGACACTCGGCAAAGACGCCTTTGACGACGCATTTTTTGCCGAGCGTTGTTTGCCGAGTATAGCACTCGGCAAAGCCTTTGCCGAGTGCAAATTGGACTTTGTCGAGTGCCCCTGGCACTCGGCAAAGCCAGTGAGTCCGGTAGTGCCGTCCAAGGTACGTAATAAGAACTAAGCAAAATCAAATTTTTGTAGCAACAAGTTTGTGTAACAACCAATGCAAATATCAAAAGTTTCCTCAATCAATGCACTGCAGAGGAGCGCCGGGATGATCCTGTTGACTTGCTGCCGCCGTTCCGCGTGAGAGACCTGCAACGCATTACGCATAGAAACGAGTAGCCTCATCGACGGAGCCAGGCAGTCCTGCGGTCTCATAATCAACACGTTTGACGCCATCGAGGCTACCGACCTCACCAAGATCCGCGAGGACCTATTCATCCCTGTGTTCGCCGTCGGGCCTCTCAACAAGTTCACGCCGCCGGTGAAAGGCAGCTTGTACCAGTGGCAGCAGGACTGCCGGTGCCTGGACTAGTTGGACACGCGGGCGCCAGGCACGGTGATCTACGTGAGCTTCGGCAGCCTCGCCGCCATGGACCCGCACGAGTTCGTGGAGCTGGCCTGGGGCCTGGCTGACAGCAAGCGCCCCTTCGTTTGGGTGGTCAGGCCGAGCCTCATCCACGGCTTCGAGTCCGGTGAGCTGCCGGACGGGTTTCAGGAGGAGGTCAGTGACCGAGGTAGGATCGTCGATTGGGCGCCACAGGATGAGGTGGTTGCTCATCCTGCTGTTGGCGCTTTCTTGACGCACAACGGTTGGAACTCGATGATGGAGGCTATATCAGAAGGCGTGCCCATGGTATCACGCCCGTTCTTGGGAGACCAATATGGAAATGCTAGGTTTGTGTGCGATGTCTGGAGAGTGGGAGTGGAGGTTGAAGTAGAGATTCAGGTCGAGAGAGGGAAGATCCGAGCTGCTATTGAGAAACTAATGGGCAACAATGAAGCCAAAGACGTTAGAGAGAGGATGAAGAACCTGAAAGAATTGGCGGCGGAAGGCATTAAGGAGAGTGGACCATCTCACACTGCTTTCCTTAACTTGGTTGATCTCATATTGTCATTTGAAATAAAAACATTTATTCGAAACCTGCAATTCTTGTTGGTACGAATCTGTGGATATGTACTTCGTTGTGTCCGGTTTCCACATTATTGAAGAAAGAGAAGTGATACTCATGGGTGCAGCAAGTCTTTGTGCTCCCGGTTGGCAAACCTCTTTAGTCCTAGTTTTCCAACCGGGAGCATCAATCTGGGACTAAAGGTACCCTCTTTTAGTCCCGGCTTGACGCCCGGGCCTAAAGGGAGACATTTAGTTCCGGTTGAAAACACCAACCGGGAGTAAAGGGGGCCTCCAGGCCTGGCCAGGGACCACCACGGGGCAGGACCATTAGTCCCGGTTGGAAACACCAACCGGGACTAAAGGTCCCTCTTTTTTTTTTCTTTTTCTGGTTTCTATTTTTGGTTTATTTTTTCATTTAATGATTAGTTTTGATATTAAAATACATTTTCGAATACGCTGCTAATAGTAATATATATGTGTACTTCGCACGCGTAAGTTTTCGTTCGAACTTTATACATAAATAACAAACGAATATACGCGTACATGCATAGATATATGATGATTATATATATACACACGTTATTTTATGTACATATAATATGTGCATATATATATATATATTACAAAGGTTTGATATATAAATTGTTTATGTCCTTAGCAATTCACTCCTCCAGATTTGGCATCCATGTTTCGTTCGGGTCATTGTAGAACTTGCCGTTGGGGTTGATGACCTGGTCATTTAGAAATCCTGCTATAGTCTCTTGAATTGCTTTAAGTTGGTCAAGTCATATGACTCTTTCCCTCAACCATTCAGCCTTCAATAAAAGTTAAAGGAAAAAGTATTAATATATATATATATATATATATATATGTATTGCTCATGTAATTACTTATACAAACGAGAGTAATAAAAAAATTGTAAATATACGATCAAAATAATATAAAGGAAAAAGTATTTATATACGTACTTTGAGTTGCTCTTCAGGAGTTCTCTTTGAGTACGCAATGATGAACTCGTAACCATAGTATCCGCAGTAGTTGTTACCCTGCTCCTGCCTTAGAACCCACTTTTACGACAAAAAAATCAATTAGGGTGAATTGAAATCATCATATGGTGTTAATTGAATATAAATGTGTAGTTATAGTACTTACTTTGTGTGCGATTACACCCAGGGGCGCTTTGCAATGTTTCATTTTTTGTTCCTCAATGAACCTTTTTCAAACCCTGCTCCCAATAAAATAAAAAAATAATTTAACCTTTAATAATTGTTGAGAGATCGGCGCCATTATATATATATGTTGTTATAGAGAAACTAAATTAGTTATCCTTGTATAATATCTATCATGTCTTGATACTCCGTTTGCGGGTTTCTCAACGAGTCTAAGATTTTCAATCTACTATTGGCCATATCGATGACCATCAATATCCAGTGATTGCTGCATAAACATATATATATATATGTGTTTGTGTGAGAGAGAGATGTAACTAGCTAGTAAGGAAATATTGATGTCCCATATATATGATTGACATTAATTACTTATAATAACACTCACTTGAAGTTGTAGGGGAAGAGTATCTCCTTCTTGTCGCGTTGGTTCACTAAGAAATTCATGAGATTTCTCTCAGGTTGAGGCTTATAATCCTTCGGGAGGTTAGGGTGTTTGTATACGACATACGGATCAACGAACCCAACATCATTATCCTTTCTCTTTCTAAGTTCTGTCATCTCATATCTGCATACATGAAAATTGTGAATATATAATAAAGAAATTGTGAATATAGTAGAAAATAATCACACTTACAGACAATAGCAGCTAATGAGACTTTTGTCGAGAGAGTCCAGGTGGCATAGTTGGTGTAATTCTGGAAGCTCGACATAGATAATGTCATTGCCACGGAAGTAATGGTGGTTTCTAATTCTGACAGAAAGATAGATTTGTCCCGCATCAAACACCGACATGTACCACCCGTTTAGCAGGTACATTTGCGTACCCAGTTCACCTAATTTCTCTGGGTTGTACAGACTCTGGCCTGGTACAAATTTCTTGTAAGGATCCACTTTCGGAGCAGATGGTCCTTCAGTGAGCACTTCAGCAAGGTTTAAACCAGTGTCCTCATAAAACCGAAGAAACAACTCATAGCCGCCTACCTCTGCCACTAAATTTAAGTTTGAACCATATTCGTTAGGAACGACAAGGGGGGGATTGATTGTTGCGATTGTTGTCCGAGTTGTGCAACACCTTCCCTACTCTCTTCTTTTTTTGCGCCGCCTCATATGACTTGGTGAGAGAGCGGTCATCGTCCGATATCGGTTGTTTCGCAGCGCTCTTAAGAGAATCCCGTTTTTTTTATTCCAACTTCTTTCTTAGCTGATCTGGAGGTAGGAAGAAGTATGATGGCACCGGGTTCTCCCTCGCTCGTCGTGCCTGTTTTGCACCTTCAAAGAAATCTGTCACTTCTTTTTGTACTGCATCCTTTAATTCCTGTTCACTTTTCTCATAAGATAGTTTTTGGGGAATAACTGGATGAGTATTTGCTTTCTGCTTCTTTACCGGCGGGCAGGGCAACGGCTTCGTTTGCGGGGCGGACCTCTTAGGGGCTGGCTTCCTTGGAGGCGGGGGAGGCGTTGGAGACCGCCTTGGAGGCAGTGCATACTTTGGAGGCGGCAGAGGCGTTGGAGACCTCGGCGGAGGAGTTGTGGACTTCCTTGGAGGCGGCGGAGGAGTTGGAGATGGTGGGGATGCAGCAGTGCCTTCGAAGGCGTCATCATTGCCCTGAGCACTATGATGGTCGGGAGAAGCAACATCTGGATTTTGGTTGGCGGAGGCCCTGCTTTGTGAGTACAAAAAATAATGAGATATAAGTAAATGCTTATTATTAGTCATGCCCATAGAAAATTATCAAAAAATTGTTTTGTTAACTTTCGTCCGCACCTAATGTCTACTGGCGGGGGAGCAGACGCCCCAGGGATAATGATGTAGCGCTTGCGCCATAGTATATATGCCTTCTCTGCTTCTCCTAGAGTCTTCTCTCCATCACCTCCAGGAATATCAAGAACTAGATCCTCATAACCTTTGCTCACTTTATCCACTACGACCCTAGCATATCTAGGTTGTACTGGTGCCCCATGGATTCTTGGTGTCTTGGTAGGGTCTGGAGGAGTAAAAACACTGACAACGACCTTGATTGTGTCATTCCCCCTTGGAACATGTAGCTCAATTGATGTCATTGGAGTAGTGACATCATCCATGGGGAAGCGCAGCGCTGCGTCATCTTGCTTTGGCAGCTTAGTGGAAGCGCTACTGCTTTTCAACTGATCAGGGGGGCTAATATTAACATTCATTCCTGGCTCTGATGTCTGCCTCTAGGCACTCATTGCTATCTGCACTTGCTTTCTGATTTCTTCCTGCATTCTTGCTTCCATTGCTTTTTCTCGCTCCTTTGCTTCAAGCACCATTTCCTCCAACATTGTCACCCACGCTGCTTGCTCCTCCTTGCTTCTCTGGCGGCTTCGGTAGGTTTCCCTGTCATTAGGGAAACCATGAACCCATGGAGTGTTGCGTCCTAAGCCTCTGGTTCGGCCAGTGTGTTCAGCAGTCCTGATGGCATACGTCAGCTCATCCTTCTCTCTATTGGGCTTGAACACACCAATCTCTTTAGCTTCTATAGCAAAAGCCAATCGACGTGCTGCTGTTTCGAGTTTTTGCCCATACACTGGTAGACCGGTCTGTGGGTCGAGTCTTCCCCCATGACCAAAAAACCAATTCTTCGAGCGTGGGGGCCACTTGGCTGATTCTGGTTCGATCCCCTTAGCAATAATGTCCACTTCCATTTTTTGCCACTTCGGAATGGCAGTATCGTAGCCACCTGATCCCATGTCATGGTGGTATACCTTTTTTCGGGCATTCTCTTGGTTCCTTCTCACCTGTGCCTCACCCTCTGCTGATGTCTTGTACTCTATGAAATCATTCCAATAGGGCCTCTGTTTCGAGATCGGGCCCATAGCAGTATTGAAATTCGGCGTTTCGTTCTTCTTGATGTATGTATTGTATAGGTGTTTCTTCCAAGTCTGGAATTGTGTGGCCATCTTCTTCATAGCCCACGATCGAACTAGCTCCTTCAATTCATCATCGTTGATATCATCATAATCATCCGCTTGCAATGTGAAATGGGCAAGGATATCATTCCAGAGCAAATTCTTGTCAACATCAGAGACAAAACTAACATCAGACTCGTTGATCTTTTTCTTCCATTCACGGATACTGATCGGAATTATGTCCCTTACAAGGTATCCATAGTGTTCCACGAATTTCCTTTTATGTGGACCAAGTGGTTCGCCTGTCTCGATGTTGAATTCCGATATTATGTACCGGCCCTCCAGTGGTTTCTTCGGTCCTCAAACATGTTTGCTCTTCGCCGTTGTGGTCGCCGATCCAGAGGGCTACGTATAAAAAATTAATAAATAAATATCTTTTGTACACAAAAATATATACAATATTCACATATAATATATATTTAGTATATATACCTCGCCTGTATTTTCTTGCAAAACATTTTCTTGCTCATTTTCAAGAGCTAGGTATTGACTTCCGTCATCAACATCCTGCTCACCAGCATTGGCAATAATATTCATCATTTCTTCCTCCATGTTGTCTCCCGGGGCAGCCATATCTAACAAATTTAACAAAATTTAAGTCACATATATAAACAAGTCATATATATACAATAAGTCATATACAAATTTATCTAAGTCACATATATATAAACAAGTCATATATGTAAACAAGTCATATATGTACAATAAGTCATAAACAAAATAAATCTAAGTCACATATATAAACAAGTCATATATATAAACAATTCATATATGTAAACAATCATATATGTCAACAAGTCATATATGTAAACAAGTCATATATGTAAACAAGTCATATAAACAAGTCATATATATAAACAAGTCATATATGTAAACAAGTCATATAAACGATGAATTCGCCCTAGCGAGAATGACGAATTCGCCTTAGCGAGAACGACAATTCGCTCTAGCGAGAACGACAGGGCGAATTCGTCGTTCTCGCTAGGGCGAATTCGTCGT